TGGAAGTGAAATGTGTTTAGTGAAACATTCATTGTTGGATCGTGCAAACGTCGCAAGAAAGGTTTGTGATTGAATTTGGACGTCGAAAGCATTCTATCTCATACCTATCTTCAAAAGTGTCGAACTATTTTTTAAATAATCCCAGACAATTGTTGAGGTAAATTCGCCAATAAAAAGATCCACGCACAAAAATTAGACGTCACTGTGTCGGTAATGCAGGCAGCTTTAGGCTTCCCTCAATGAAAGATTTACATAATTTATCAAGAGAAAGACTAAAGTTTCGTGGATAGAAACTTTCTTCTTCTCTATATTGTTACTCAAATGAACAATGCAAATAAACGAAGATAGACGATCAATTTCGCAAGTAATAAATCACTTTTACCTAATGGTTGTTCGCCGGATATCTCTTCCTCCTCTCAGAGCTCCTCGTCGCGCTCATTCGCGAAAGAGGAGATCGTTGACTACGATCGTGCGGAACTCCCGACGCGCATCGTTATAAATACATCGCAACGGTGGAATAACATACGCGAGAAAGGAAAAATCGCGAGAGTAGAATAAGTTACGAGCATCACTCGATATCCTTGATGTCATCGCGGCACAAACGGACGAATTTCAAAAGGCGAAAGCAACCTGAGGGTCGCGCAGCCAACTTCACGCGGCACTCGCCGCGGCTCCTGCTCGCGCCTTCAACAATCTCGGTATTTTCAAGGATGAATATGCGACACGTGCAATAATAAGCGCCCGCGGTTCAGGACTATCTTGCGTTACAACGCAAACGAATCGATGTATAGCGCAAGATCGAGGATGAAAACATCTTTGGAATGCACATCTATTAAGCTAGAATGCCAATATGAGCATAATCATATAAGATGCACGGAGGATTTAGTGCTCTTGATGTGCTAATTTATTGCTCTAATCCTGATTTTGTTGCTTTAGGGCCAGTTTCACAAACGTCGTCTTTACAGAAATGTAAGCGACATAATTAATAGAAAATTACTGTACATTAGTTATTTCTAATGATTCAGTTACTGAACTCTAATAATTATTCAGTGCTTTTTTCGTTCTCAGTCATTACATTTCTAAGGGCGGTTAGCTGCTAACCGAAGGTTAATTGATTCTCTGTTTCTTCTTAAATAATAAAATGGAAGAAGATAGGGAGTTGACTGAACTTTGGTTAACAGACATTTGTGAAACTGGTCCTTAGCCGTTTAGCAAGAGATTACTTCTGTGCTACCTTTCGAAAAAGTTAGAATGCCCATTCACAAAAATAATAAAAAGAAAAACACTTATACCATAATTTTAAATACTGGAATGTGACGTCCGCGAACATGGCGTCGATTTGCCGATCGCGACATCTCGGGTATATCTTGCGAAATACGCATTTCGCGACGAACCACCGAAAATGTGCATACGTCCCGAATTCGAGCTACGCGATTAACAAATATCGCGATCGCGGTTGCTCGCTAATTGAATTTGAGACTAATTGACCGCCGTTCGATCGAAGTCGATCCATCCCGTGTCTGTGGCGTTCCATAAACGATCGAAAAATATATCGAGGTTCGCGTGACGATAACTTCACACTGTTACCGCACGATGCGAGTTAACGACTAATTAAGACGTAATTAAATATTCGAAAATGCACCGATCAAATTTCCATATCAAGTGCGCGGTACCAAGCACTTCGAGCGCGACGTGTAACCTTCATGTTATTAGCACATGTTAATCGCGACTTTGTTTTACTCTCTGTCGTACGATGACGTACATTATATACATTGTAGAATTGTACGTTAATTGTCGACAAATTTTTTAAGCGTTTTGCTCTACTTATATGAAATAGAACGTTTCTAGACGCAGAGCACATTGTAAATCAAGCTTAAATGTCGCAACGAGACGACAATTTCTTTTCTATAACGCATCGAATTCTATTAAAGCTCCTGGATGCTCACCGCGGCCATATTGGATCGTGATGTCAGAGGTGAGAAGTGACACACTGAGAATTCTTGCGCGCCACATTCATTTCAGAGCGGTTTATTAACTGTCAAGGGAGAAGAAGTTTTCGAACAGTTTTGATAAGCGCGCTGAAGCGAAGTGTTTTTTTCATTCAAACATCTTTTTATTTAAAAACGACACGCAAAAATTCTCAGCGTGTCATTTCTTACCTCCGACATCACGATTCAACATGGCCGCGGCGAGCATCCAGGAGCCTTAAGGCTCGGTTGTACCAACGTCACGAAATTTTAACTTTAGCTTAATTCACTTTTCGTCTCTTTCTAACTGTTCACCTTAGAAAGAGACAACGAGTGAATTAAGCTAAGGTTAAAATTAAAATTAAGCAACGTTGGTGCTACCGGGTCTAAGACAAGTAAATTATGCGAAGTACCTTCCTTGATAACAACCTTTGTCTTGATTCTCTTAGCAGTTACCAATCGGGAGTTAATTATAGTAGATACAGTGACTGATCACTTCTTGTATCTCGTTCATCTCGTTGCAAAGGCGTTTCGAGGGTTAAGACGACGACACACGGAGCGTCTTGTTACGCAATCAGCTCGAGTTTCGAATGGTATTCGCGATCTTTGATAAACGTGGCGTGGTGTGTAACGCGAAAACAAACACCAGTGCCGGCCGACTTGTTATCGTTTTGAAATATTCAACGTAGACTAAATTTACCGAATACCCAATTTTCCCACGGCTATTTAAACATCTGGAACGTACTTTTGACGTACGAGCATAAAATGAGTCTACGCTCTTAACACGTTGACTGCCAACGGCTCAACCCAAAAATGGACCCCGTGGGCCACAATTTTTTGTTTCTGTTTTGAATCTAAATTTTGAATTTAAATTGTCAGTGATCTAGTGTTGGTATATGTATGCATTTTTTATTTGTATGATTTCGAAACGAGTTGAAAGTTCGTGCTTGCTTAGGGATACGCTACGAGATATGTGGCAAAACTCTTTTTTCTCATGTTGTGAGAACTGTTTTAGGCCTTTTGTATTATATACTAGTGTGAAATATACACTTTGCAAGACAATAGTATAACTAGTAGGTCCACTCTCTGTCGGCCCTTTGATCTTTTCGGATCACGTGGTATTCCGCCATGGTTTGGTAAGGATCCAGCAGCAGCGCGCGCGCGCGTGTGTGTGTGTGGGTATTTACAATTCATCAAAGCTACACTCTCATACATACACAACTTTTCTCTCATTGGTCTGGCATTGGATGCGCAGAAGGGATCAATGCAAAACCAAACAAATGACAGAGTAGATCTACTAGTTACTATGGCAAGACCGTCAATATACATAGATTGAAAGCTTTGTTCACTATTGTTTCCAACGGGCACCTTGCACAATAACGAAGATCAACATGGTCAGCAATATACAGTATCTAATCCATCGATGCGATGGGTAGTTTTTAAAATATTGCTGTTTCTTTTTTATTAATGCCATGTCACCGATATATATGAACGTATTGAATAAAAATTTGTACACTTGATTAATATATTCAGTTTATTAAAATGCTTAATTAATTGCAAGTTTGCTGTTTATTCAAAGAGACAGACCTGTCTGAATTATCCGCCTTTCCGACTCTAGCGCTTAAAAGAAACGTAGTCAATTAAGATGATGTCCGCCGCACCTGTTCCCGGGGCGAGCTGGAAGGACGTTTCAAAAATCGTCTCTCGAAATGAGCTCGGTTCGCTATCGCGATGCGAGTGCGATCGTCCATCCTAATGTGGCATACGAGCGTGTCGTTGCCACAAACACGAAGCAAACCGCAGGAAAATTAATTGTGTGATTTATATACGCTGCCACCGGCAACATATAATTAATTCCTATTGCTAGGTATTGTTTGTCGCAGACGAACGGGCGCGCGAGGACGTCAAAGCGGGCGAGTAAGTGCGATCGATTTGCAATAAATGGCACTTGCCGGCATCGTACGCTCGGTCAATTCCGCGGTTGATGCTAAATTAACTCAAAATTCAGCAGGGACCTCCCATGATACCATTGCCGACCGTTTATTGCACGAAATGATATGTAATTCATCCGTCCGATCTCGCCCAGCTCATTTTCCATTCTGCCTCGCATGGCTGGGTGTTCTGAGAGATTGAGCGAGCGAGTGAGTGAGCGAGTGAGTGAGCGAGTGAGTGAGCGAGTGAGTGAGTAAGTGAGTGAGTGAGTGAGTGAGTGAGTGAGTGAGAGAGAGGGGGGGGAGGGGAGGGAGGAGGGAGGGAGAGAGAGAGTGTGTGTGTGTGTGTGTGTGTTTTTGTGTGTGTCAGTGTGTTATTAATCTTGATGTTTTTAACGGTATAGTTTTACCGTGACGAAATATCATCACAAAGGACGTCGTCTTTATAGTTGCGATATCGGTATAACGATGAAATATTGCGAACAATATTACGGGAATGACTTGTGTAATTATATAATTTATCTTCCTAGCGCCGGACATTTAATGCACTGAAAGTAAAAGAGATATATAATACCGAGTTTTTAAGATATTAAAACTTGTTAAAGTTACCATTTCTCTCTGAATGACGGTTGTAATAATTGTACTTGGTCTATTCACGTGAGCGAAGTACAAAGAGATATGGCGTACATACAAGCCTTTCTTCAATAATCATTACAAAATCGAACTTTATTCATGTTTTTATCGACAGTATTTGGCAAAATAAACTAATGAATACCCGATATAAATGGTAATAAAATGATATAATGGTAGCAAATTTACAAATATTAATAAATAATATTCTCCCAAATGAGGGGATTAAAATGTAAAGCGCATTACTTGTTGAAACGTTTTGGCTTAATACGATTTTAAAGTATATCACATGCGTTGAAATATTACATGTATATTTATGATAATATTTTACACAATACAATCTCAATAACACGAACTTAATAATTGCAGGACTTTGTCGATTATCGCGTATATAGCGATGGGTATACGTATATTTCGTAATTTATGGACACATCCCTGTCATCATAAATAATGCTTGTTAATTACATTTCAGACAAATCAGAGCGACGCGTATCGAGTGGTCCTGAACGGTGTGCAGCCCAATCATACCGGCAAATATCGTTGCGAAGTCTCCGGAGATTCTCCCTCGTTTAATACCGTAATGGTTTCTGGTTACATGCACGTAGCTAGTGAGTATATCTGCAGAAACGTATTTTACATCTGAGCAAAGATAACACGAAGTGCACCGCGAAGACTGAAAGGCGAAGCTGAACGCGTAGCTGGGCAAACATATTCCTTCCTATGAATTCCGATATGAGTAAATATAACTAAAAGAGCAAAAGCCCGTACTGTTCGTCATGCATGCGTTGATATTTATAAGTAAAATGAAGCGTTGCGATTTTACCGAATCGCCGTTCGTAAAATAATCAATGGCAGTTAATTAATTACGAGTTTAATTGCAGTAATCAAAGACTGAAATTTCACCAGAATAACATCGCGGTGCATAATATGTGGGAAAACATTAAAGCGGAGGAATACACAAGCACTTTTTAACAGTTCGCAAATATGACGAAAAAGAAAATAAAAATCTACTTTAAACTTTGTGCAAAATTTTACTGAAAATTACGAGAAAAATCTAATCTCAAATAGGTTTTTAATCCTTTCGCTTCACATTTTTTGCGTCTACGTCAAGTGGATAAGTGCTTTTCGTAACATCGAATTTTTATTTCATGTCACGCCACATAAATTAAACTCGGCATATTCCTCTTATTCGTGCATATTTTTTGGTATTTTTGTGCAATATTTTTACAACAAGCGTTTTGCGATTTTTTATCGCAAAATTTTGTACATACAAACGCAATTGTTATTTTAGAAATGTAATAAAGAATTGTTACATTTTCATCACACCTCTAGGTCTCTTGCGCTAACATTTACTTCTCAAGCCAATAATTAAAAAAAAAGAAATTATTGACTCCGTAAATTATAAAAATTTCTAGATCTACGAAGAGACCTCGACACGAGAATCGATAATTGCTCCACCTTATAAAATTTGAAATTTGCAAGTTTTCTGCTACAAATAATGATCGATAAGTTTTCGTGTACCACAGAAATCCGTTGAAATCGCTCGAACTTTAGAAAATGGTAGCGTGCAAGAAACCTCAAAAAACTATAAAAGCTGCAAAATTGATTTCAGCGTTTCACTGTACCGTACGGCGTCAGAGGGAAAATTGCAAATTAACTTATAAATTAACCAGCGGCTGCTTATGTTGCGCGAGATGACAAAAAGCCGGCGTCATTAGCCCCGATAACAGCGCGCAATAAACCTGTCGGCGAGACAAAATTCTTCGATTGGCGATGCTTATTGAATTCTTCGTCTATCCCATCTCGGCCGGTACGAGCTAAAAAAGCGTGAAAGCCGCCGTTAATTTCGCCATTTGATGCCATTAAAGCGTTAAATAGATATCGTTAATTTACAACTACCATTCCGCCGCGGCTGACGTTGTTTCGGCAGCCGCGCGCGCGCGCGCGCGCACCGATCTCTCGTCTCGTATAATTCCCCGTGCGTAACGCGGATAATTGCTGCGACCAATTCGCTACGAGACAGCCGCTTTTTGCGACGTCCTTCGCTATATAAGCGACACCTATTCCGCGTCAGCTGGGACGCATTGTTAAAATTCAATAAAAACATTTCATCGTCCCATTCGAGAGTGGTTAACAGACAGCGGGGCGGACGGAGGGCCCGTGATGAATCGCGGATTCGGTCGTGACCCGTTAAGCTCTTTTTTTCGGTCGCTTTACCCACGACTTTGTACCTTGTCTGCTACCGGGTAAACTCCCCCTCCCCCCCCCCCTCTCTCTCTGTCTCTCTCTGTCTTTCTCGGTATGTCTTTCACGAGCCTTTCATTATCGTTGATTATTCTACACGGCGACTAGTATTGTCACCGTAATCGCGCCCAATTAAAACGCAGTTAGATGAGGAGAGAGAGAGAGAGAGAGAGAGAGGGGGAGGGGGGGGGGGGGGGGGAGGGGGAGGGGGGGGGGGGGGGGGGGGGAGGGGGGGGGGGGGGAGGGAGGGAAAGAATGGAGACGAGAGGAACCGATCCGACGAGGCCGGAAGAGAGACGCGCGTGAGGATCGGCGAGGCGCGTTCTCCGTTCCCACCGTTCCTCACCGTCGTCATCGTGCGTCGACCTAACGACGAGCACGAGCACGGCGAGGCACGCGGTAGCGGGTCCCCTTCGAAGGGACGAGGTGACTGCCTCCTCTTTCCGATCACGGATCGCTCGTAAAAGCTCGATACTGGATCGAGGGGTTTCGAAAGTCATCTTGTATCCTCCCACCCCCCCCCTGTACCCTCCCGTGCCGCTCTCCAGAGACCGGCGCGCACCGTCTCTCTCTCTCTCTCTCGTTTCCTCTTTCCCAGTTCTCACGAAGCCGGCGATCATCCCGTTCCACGCGACACACGAGTTGAAAATGATAATATCCCTCGGCCGTGCCGTGTCCTTGAGAGTGAATCGCGCAAAGAAGGTGCGGCCCGAGGCGGAAGTCGTTGCGGCCAAGTGAGACAATTCCTTGACAGTTTACCGGATTGTCATCGCGCGGCTACCTGCCGCGAGGAGGAGTCCACTGCCTTCTGTGGACGTTATAATGATCCCCCGAGATATACGCGATACGCTATGCGTACGTACATTGTATATCGCGAGCGAGGGGGCTCAAACTTCGCCTAATGACGATGATGCTCGCGGAAGCGTCCGCGCGCTGACTTATCGCGAGGGGGCTCGAAAAGGCGGGCCGATTTCGAATATGAAACTGAACGCGCAGCTCGGGCACGTTTTATATTTATGAAGGCGCGCCCCGCCTCCCGGGCTTCGTACGGAAGCGCTACTTCTAATTTACGGCGGACCCGCATCGCTCTTTCAATTCAATTTCCCCGAGATGCGCAACGCGCCGAGGCGATATCCGCGTATAGACGGAAATCCTCTCCCCCATTGTTCGGGGAATAAAAGTTACATTTTTGTCGCGCCGTCCGTATTCCCCCCGTTTGCTTCGGGTACGTAACCACGTGTTCCACATGACTACGAAACAATTAACAAAGTACGATGTACAGTGATGGGCAGAACGATTGCGACGCTTCTTTTTTTAATGAGTTTAGGAGGGCTCTTGCCTTAGAAACATTCTATTTTATAGCGAATAAATACGTTAAAAGAATTTGTGTAGTGATAAATTGTATACATTGTACAATCGCACATCGTCGACAAGTTTTGCAAAAGTTTTGATTTGTTTATATAAAATAGAATGTTTCCGGATGCAAAGAACACATTGTAGATTAGGCTTCAGCAATCCCTTGGGAAAATATACCTTAGAAAACCTTAAAATTTTACTTAAGAAAAATAAGAAATATGAAAAGTAAATTTGGACACTTGAAACTTTTGTTTAAGGTAAACTTAAAACTTACTTTAAGAATTTAAAACAAAACTTTAAGAATTGTGAAAAGTATTGTATGTGATATAATTTATAATACCGCGTGCGGTTTTATTCTTACGAGAAAGTGTCACGCGGTCCTCTAGCGGAAACTTCGACAGGCTTGGCTATCCAAAAATTACTTTAAGTGTCCAAAATTACCCTAAAATTTCTTAAGTAAACTTGCAACTTCTTTAAGTAAACTCTTAGATTTGAAAGATTACTGTCAAAAACTTTAATTTCATTTAAAGTAAATTTTCCCAAGGGATGACAACAAAACGATTAGCTATGCCAACAAAACGTTTACCTGTGCCAACTCGCTACTGAACTTCAACATTACCAAGTTATTTCTTTGCGCGTAGTTATTTGATAAATATAAAAATTTACTTATCCAACTACTGCATCGTAATGTCTCGAAAGATATTTGATATGCTGCTAGAGTCGGTTGTCGAGGCCATTAAACAGCGCAAGAAGTGTCATTCGTGATTTCTGCGCGGCGTGTTCTTTGACACCGCGAACAATGATCCCGGTCGAGGGTACCGCGGCGCTCTCGCAGCGTCCAGGCTGTTTTTACAATCGGTAGCAGACGAAGGAATCAGACGTAACAATAGCGTAACGTGTCCGTTAGCTGCGGCAAAAACCGCAACCCGGCATCGCGCAATCGCCTCCGATCGCTGCTACAAGACACCTTGGATTTCAGGTCTGCCGAACGGCCGTCCGCTGCTGCGGATCGAGAAGATGCGGTACGCGGTGGGCGATACTGTACGTGGAAACTGCACGGTACCGTCGGGAAATCCTCCGGCTAACGTGACGTGGACTGTCAACGGCACACCGGTAGGTTGATGGATGTGGAAAGCGTCCATGAATCCCTTCCCTCCCCTTCCCCGATCGTATTCGCTGACTCATGACAAACTACATAAATATTAATTTGACCCGCGTCTTGTTCCCGGATATTGCCGCGAAATTTTTCCGCAGGTCTCATGCGCGCCGAACGATAGTTAAACTTCTGCCTTCCGCCACGATTTCGCTAAACGAATAACAATTATCCTCGACTGCTTTCCAATTTAGCGCGAGATTTAGTCATGTACTCATCTTAAAAATTAATCTTTTTTAAAAAAGGGTAAAAAAGGCGCCAAGCATAAGCGCCATCCAATCAAGAATTATATCATTTTATTATTTGGATAGGTTTTATTTAAAAAAAAATTCTATTCAGCCACGTGAACTCGCATCGCAATTAGTGCGTATTTTTTGTAAAATTTTTGAAAATCGAATATCTCTGCAATGAAAACGATCAAATCTTTAATTTACAAATGTAATCGTTGAAACAATTATTCTTATTCTTGCAAGCGTAGAAACGTTAAATATAAATTACGTTTAATTATACAGAATGTATAAATGACAAATATACAAAAAACCAAACGTAAAATTATCCGAATCCTGGCTGAGGCAATATTTTTCGCAATAAGATTTCTTTACAGTATAGAGAGGGGGGTATTGAATGCTAAATATAGCATTTTAAAATAATTAAAAATTGTTTATCGATTTAATACGTGAATTTGCTGACGACAACAAAACTGAAAAAAATGTTTGCCACTGTAACTAAACATGGTTTGTTAAAACTATTTCGCTGCCATAACTTTCTAAATCTTCTCTACCACTTATAAACTTCTAAATCACAGCAAACGGTTTGCTGCCGCACTTAATGCACAATAGGTGCAATAGCAAAATATTTAGCTATCACAACGAAATATTAGCTGTCTATATTTTTCAACTGAAACTTAATTGCCACATGCAGTTTTCAGCTACGGTAGCTACATTTTTCTTTCCGTGAATGATTCCATCTAAGTAAAACTGTGTTACGTCCGAAAAGAAATCGGCGCGCAGGACAAAATGGAAAACGGTATATGAATTCATATTTTACATTACATTGTCGGACTACCAACATCTTGCTCCCGACCTACAGGTGCTCTCATTTGTTTCATTTATATCGTAATGGTTCTATCCTGGGCTCGCCACGGCCATGTTAGAAATCGCGACGTCAGAAGCGAGAAATGACACGCTGAAAATTCTTGCTCTTCATATCTACAGAACAAGATATCTAAATAAAAAAAAAAACAGTCTAGGTACATCGTTTCAGCATATTTTTAAAATGCTTCGGTAACTAACCTTTTCCCTTGACAGCCGTAAAATGTGAATGTAACAAGATTCCTGTCATGAGTACGCTTACGCATGCGCGACTAGGAATCTTGTTACATCCACATTTTATGGCTGTTTATCAGCTGTCAAGGGAGAAGGTTAGTTACTGGAGTATTTTGAAAATGTGCTGAAACGATATACACTCCCGGGGGGAAAAAGCCGTATATCCAATTTTATCTAATTGTATCAAATAATGTCAGATATGAGAAAATTTCATCAGATTATATCCAAATTTTAATGTATCCATTTATAAGTATATCAAATCAAATGTGGACCACATATGATAAAATTTCATCAGATTATATCCAAATTTTAATGTGTCCATTTATAAGTATATCAATAAGTATATCATAAGTGGTCCACATTTGATTTGACATACTTATAAATGGATACATTAAAATTTGGATATAATCTGATGAAATTTTATCATATCTGACATTATTTGATACAATTAGATAAAATTGGATATATGGCTTTTTCCCCGGGCTGTTTTTTTTTATCTAGAAATCTTGTTCTGTAGTTATAAAGCGCAAGAATTCTCAGCGTGTCATTTCTCGCTTCTGACGTCATAATCCAACATGGCTGCAGCGAGTACCCAGGAGTCTTACCTCTAGATTCGTGTAAAGAACATAGAAAGAAAGAAAGTATAGTGTCAATTTTCTAGTTGAAATGTAAAACTGCATTGTCATTGTGACATAATTATGTATCATTCAAATACCAATAGCTCAGGAATTTAAACACTTTCCCCAGTTTTGCCTCGCGTGCACGTGGAAATTTAACAGCCGCCGGAAAGCGCAACGGGGAGGAATCCCACCTTTCCATTAAAGAAGATTGCTTATACGTGATCGACTGCATTAAGCGTAAAATGTAACGATCTTCGCGACGAGCGCAGCTTGTCAGCTTAAGGGTCTCCTCTCGGAGGAGAAGCGCGTGTTCTCGTGCGTGCGTGTAAGCTCGGAGGCGCACGAGATGCGTGGAAATCTCACGGAAACAACAGGAAGCGCGACATCAATTCACGACGGCGCCGTATAGACGGTATCGCGGACTGAGAAAATCGGTAAAATCATACACACACACATACGCGCGCGCACGCAGATACGCGCGCGCGCGCATTGCACACGTGGTTGCTGGGACGCACGAGAGACGCACGAGTTCCCGTTATGCGCGCTGATAAACGGAGGCGATTCAGGAAATTATAAAGATCCCTCTCTCGCTGATTCTCTTCTGGCGTCGGCGCGCTCTGAACAGCCTCCATTTAATCCGGAACTCTCACTTCGGTATAAGCGAGCCGGTAATCTGGGACGCTTTACGAGCGTCCTAAGAATCCGATAAACATCATAGTTACAGCGGTATACGCCGCAAATCATTTACGGCTACCGAGGGAGGCGTGTTACCGCGTAAACAAGTGGCAGGAAGCAGTAAGGATGTACACTGGTACCCCAGTCGTCGCGCCCCACTCTGTCCCTCCGCCGGTTCTACCCTGCCGTTAAATATGTTTAAGCCGGCATGTGCTTAATTACCCATCTGTACTTTCCCGGTTAATTAATTCCTTATAGGATCACCCGTCTTAATAACCTATCGGCGGGATCGCGAGTTATTTCGAAAATTGAAATAGCGTTGTCGGGTATTGGATGATTATATTCCGCATGGCGCAACAAGAAAGCTGAGGGACTTCCTCGAGCGCACGAAGGAGTCTCTCCCTCTCTGAAATAATTGTTAATTTACTTGCAATAAGTACGCGGCTTAATTGCACGGTGGCTATGTCGTAAAATGAACCAGGCCTCGACGTATATCGCATAAAGCTAATTGATTTTAGAGACTCATAAATCATCGTGCCCTTTTAACGCTTTTGCTGTGCTCCAAGAGGGCGGCAAGCCGCGCGTATCACCGCCACGTTTCGTTGATAATTGACGAGCAAATGGAAATCGACAGTTTTACGGCCTTTACGTTCAAAGGTATCTTATGCGCCGCCCTGTGAAAAGATTTTCGCCTAGATTTTTGTACACGTAAAAAACGGAAGAAGTTATTTTGCACATGAGCGGTGGCGTTTACTCGGGATTTACAAAATAAAAATTAAAGAAGGAAGAGTCGATGAATATATAGGGGAGAGTTGCCGAATGGGTACCACTTAAGGTATTATGTATTATACATCCTTTAATCTACTTCAAAAACTATTTCTTTCCATGCTAGGAAATAATTCGTATACAGTGATATCACATATTTTGTAATATCGAGCGCTTCAACTCGAGGTATGTTTAGCTGTTTGGAGTGGGGTGGGTGATAATGTATTCGGATGGGTAATGCGCACCCGAGCTCATCATACATCTGCTGTAAATTAAATTAATTTTCTATCTCTAATAACAGCAAATGTGTTGTACAGCTCAGAAATAAATAATTTTTCGAGCACTACGTATTAAGATTTTTTAGTTGGTCTTACGAGTACCGCGTACTCCCAAATTTTGGTATTTTTAAATATGCAGAGACAAGATATGTTTTAGAATCGCCCAGTGCCGATGTATTATATAACACGGTTTCTCTCGTTGCAGGTGAACTCGAGTACCATCAAGTTTATTAATGAGACAGTTGGCGACAATCAACAGCACATGACAGTTGCTGAATTGGACTTGGAGACGATGCAGGATAGTTTCAGCAACGGCAGGTTACAGATCGTTTGTCACGCCAACGTCTTTCATTTATATAAAGAAACGGCTGAGGCATCTCTGAAGGAAGAACGTCCAAGATTGGCCTCCGTATTAGGAACACGGGAATCCTCCTACATCGGTACGAGTTACGGCTTACATTTTTATTATCTTATCAAAAGTAAATAAACGAAAGTTCGTGGAAAAAAGTCAGAGTTTAAATTTGATTTTTGATGAATGCAGACATTCTTCAATATTTTACCTAAAAATAAAAAAACTCAATTTATCATAATGTTATGACGATGATAATTCTCCGAGAATTCTCCCCTTTTAAATAAGATTTTTTAAATAAGACGTATCTTGGTCTTCTGATTGATTTATACATTGTTCTCCATTGCAGGTAGCGCAGCCAAGAGTGCCGCAGAATACTTCTACATCACTGCCATAACTGCACTGTTGCTATGCAGCCTGAGATAACATCAATGAGCACGCAATACGTTTTACGCGTACGATTGTATCGGGGACGGAGGGAGTAAATCGTTTGTAAAATTTTGAAATTATTAAATGGGATAAAACCTGGGAAGAGAAATCTCTTTTGTTGAAATAAATACCAAGCGTATGTTATTCGTGTAAATAGGATAAAGGAAAAGATTTAGCGAATTATCTACGTGTATGCGCAATCTACCCGACAGCCCCTGCGGGTAGACTTGTAATCCGATAAAAAAATAACATGTCGTATTATTACGTAATAGATCGACAAGGTGTCGCGCCAAACTACCAACGACTTATTTGAATATTGTACCGTCTTTTCTATCCTCTGATAATTGATGATTTTGATACCTCCTCTGTAACATTGTGGCCGTCGCAATGTGTCCTGTCATGGTTATAGGCAAATACTGTTATTGTTTATAAATGACAGTTTATTTCAGTGAAATGCGAATAAACAATTCACTTTTGTTAATTTTTAATACCGATCCGAACCTCCTTTGTCCGCCTTACTCCAACATAGATATTTAGCAATTAAAAAATAGTTTATTAACAAATTATTACTTCAACCTTACGTAAAGTTGTTAGTTGTAAGAAAAATGCTTAGTGACGAATGTTTTAATTTACTAACGAGTATATATATACATAAACATGTATTTCTGTACAAAAATCTATTGTGTATTAATTTATCGAATAGACGAAGTTGAATAAACGAAATACGACAGGGTGATATCACAAAACGTGTACGCCTTGATTGTTCTTAGTAAGCTCATCTTATTGCTATTACATGGAATCAGTTGTATTCGTATGTAGTATCTGAAGGTTATCGAAGCTTAAGCTACAATCAAGATTTTCAAAAAGAATGCAAACGATAACGGATCATTCGTGACAAAATGTGTAATCAAATTATTTGAAAATTTATCGTTTTCCACGTGCAGCCGCATCCCAGGCTTGAGGTTGAAGTCTCGCCTCTATTATATCCATTGTCGCCTCCCTTAATTTCGTCCTTTCAATCCCGACTTGTTGGATCTTTTCCATCTGCTCGGTAACATACTCCACTTTCCTCTTGAAGTAGTCCTTTGCCTCATTGATATTCTTCGCCGCATAGTAGCCAGTACCAATATCAACAATCACATTGTTTGCATCCGCCAGCTTTCCAGTCACATACATAGAACCTGTCAGAGGTACTAATATCTCACTGCCTGCAAAACAAAGTATACAAAGAATGATTCGTTACGATCCGATCATTAACGTTGCATTTATTATTCCTACTTTGCCAGGGCCACTCGAATTCACCACGTTCTACATCTCAAAACTAGGATGGTTCATTCGACATTCTATCTCTGTGTAAGTTTCACCACTTATGATTTTCATCCTCTTGTTCATTATCATTAATGTTATCATATTGATTTTTTAAATAACTTATGTTATTCAGCGTTAGTGAAGGCACTGTGCTGCCGAAACGTCCACGGTTGTTTGTTTCATTCTCTTAAATATACATTATCATTCCGTCTTCACTCGGCTCGTTCTCTTTATTGGCCTTTTTACATATTTTAAATTTATATACCTTATACGAGCGTCCTATTATTAATTCCTACTTAGTAAAATACGAGAAACAAGCGAGAAAAGTAGGCCTGGATAGCTCAGTACAAAGAGCAGTCGCACGACAAGCGGAACGTCCCAGGTTTGAATACAGATCCAATTCTCCTGTTATTATTTTCACAAGGGCGACACGTTGTTTGCCTCTTCAATATAAATTTACAGGAGCTTATAAGAATTATAACTTTTGTTATTCTCCCTCTACGAGAACGCCGTCGAATTGGCGTAATTATAAGAAACACTTTTGTTGTGTAAATAGCACCCAAGCTATCGATTAAACCTACTTAAAAGTCGATTGGATCGGCTGCTATTATATGAAGGTCTCGCGTACTCGCGTAAATGTACACGGTCGGTCTCGCACCCGCGGTTTTTGCTATGCTTATACTTGACGCGAGACACTACTAAGGCCGTGCTCGTTTTGCATTCGCCCTCTTCGAGGACAACCTGTCGTTCAGACAGGATAACGGTGAGAAATTTGTTTATTTGCTAGAGGAGTCTTGGGAGATGTGGCCATCCATACGATGGTCTATCAAATCATTAAGTGAGATACCACGCACCGCTCTTGAGTTGCGCTGCTAGTATACTATTCCTACTTTATTTAGTAAAATAAAGTAAGCGAGAAGGATTTTGAGTAAGTATAGGCCCGGATAGCTCAGTTGGCAGAGCATTCGCCCAGCAAGTGGAAGGTTTCAGGTTTGAATTCTGGTATAGTTCTAGCCCGTTATTTTTCCTGCCGAAAATTAAGAAGTGGCGCGTCTTAATGCCCTACCTCCCCGAAGACACACCCCTATTTATTACTATGGAAACACTACTGTCTCTTGATTTACAAATTGAAAAAAGATATTGTATACATTTATGCCAGTGACAAAGGCTAGAGGAAAAAGTAGAAATCAAATTGTAGCAGCAGAGAATCATCTCTGCCACCTCGCCCTCGAAGCTGTGCCTCGAGCTTGCATTCGCGGTACCGGGTGGTGTCGCGTTTCTTAACCTCAACGAGGAACCTCCTTCCCGAAGTAATATACTTCGGAGAGCAAACTCCGCGCGACTCACCCTCGCTGTCCGGCGTGATCTTCTCGAGGCAAGAGTTCGACTCCTGAAATCTGCTTTGTGCGATCTTCAGCGTGTGCAGAGAGTCTTGAAACACGCCGAGCTCCTGGTCCAGTTGCTGCTTGAACATCGTCAGCTGTTGGAGGTTCAAGTTCGGCAGGTTCGCCAGGCTGATCACCTGTGATTGCGCTGGCGACTTCATGGAGGCCTCCTGCGACATCCTGCAGCGTGGAATTTCCGGCGAGGCCAGACGCTATTCTCGAAATGTGCTTCACGATGACAAAGCCTCCGACCGACTCCGTGCCAACGATATCTCCAAACACGGACAACGGCGAACCGGACAAACAACGGCGCGTTCGGCGTCCTCTCTGGGTTTGAGTTTGTCAAAATCAACACCGAGCGGCGCCATAATGCAAGCGCGACGGACCCTCCATCTCGTGAAACGGCAGACATTATCCGATGAGAGAAAGCTGATGCCCATTCTACACCTAGGGATGATCCTACTTTTACCACATCCGATACCCCTTCTATACCTAAAGCTAATCCTACTTGCAGCTTATCCGAGGGAGTAGTATAAAGTGTAAAAGGGTACACTGTAGTTGTACTTTGGTACGATTGGAAACCAACCAAAGTGTAAACCTTTTACACTTTATACTACATACTCCCTCGGATAAGCTGTAAGTAGGATTAGCTTTAGGTATAGAAGGGAGTATCGGATGAGCCACAAGTAGGATCATCCCTAGGTGTAGAAAGGGCACTAGGGCAACGCTGTCGGTAAGGGGCAAATCATTTAATATCGTTTCGACTGTTGATATTATTACTTTTTGTAGGAACTTTATCGACAGTGATATTTCTCAGTAATATTGACAGTGAGTAAGGAATAGTAACATCCTAGGCTGCAATCCACAATTGATGCTACAAAACGCTTCAAAGCGTTCTTCTTCTCTTTCCTTTTAATAAAAAGAGAAAGAGAAGAAGAATGCTTCGAAGTATTTTGTAGCATCAAGTGGATCGCAGCTCTAGTAAACACGTACACACAGTTTGTAGCGTTAACATAACTTTCCAATAAACACCAACTAACAGTACATAATATCAATGTATATTATAATTTTCTACTCAACAATGTAAATGAAATGTAATATATGCGTGTTGTATTAATATTATAATTTCCTGCTAAACAATGTAAATTGTAATATTGCATTTGTAATATTTCATAACATTTAAGTTATATGTATAACAGTGTTACGTTAATGAAATATAACATTATACATATATTACATCATCGTTACATTATATCTCAGTCATCAAAATGTTAACAGCTTTTTAGCAGATTCGATTAGAAACTTACACCAAAACTATAGCCATCTGTGTCCGCATTTGGCTCTTGTTTGGGAAACATAGTCTGTAAAACATACGCTGTCAACATACCCAGCAAACCATAACGTAACTGTTACATAATTTATGCCTGTGCTATATTTAGAGATGATCCTACTTGTGGCTCATCCGATGATCCTTCTATACCTAAAGATAATCCTACTTGCGGCTTACCCGAGGGAGTAGTATAAAGTGTAAAAGGGTGCACTGCGGTTGGTTTCCGATCGTACCAACGTACCAACCCAAAAATTTTCATAAATTTTCTTATGCATATGTTTAGGAGTTATACAAATTTGTTTTTTTTTACCTTTTGTAGTCAACGACTTCAACGAATTTGTTTCGCAATTCCTGGCGTCTGTAAATTTTGTCTGTAAGATCTAATCTAATCAGAAAATTTTTGGGTTGATACGTTGGTTCGAATGGAAACCAACCGCAGTGTACCCTTTTACACTTTATACTACTCCCTCGGATAAGCCGCGAGTAGGATTATCTTTAGAAGGGAAATCGGATGTGCCACAAGTAGGATCATCCCTAGGTGTAGAACGGACATTAGGGAGCACATAAAGAGAACAATGTTATATTTCATAATTATGTAGAAGAGATGTAACTATTACATAACGTTGACAACACATTAGAAGAACAAAGTTATATTTCTTTGCTACGTATATATCATCGTAACAATTCTTAAAAAATGTTATGTAACACACCCGTGTCTTAAAATATATAGCATAAATATAAATATATAAGAGAGTTTACTTCAGTACCGGAAAGATGTTCAAAGAATCTCATGTGGATGTGCTAATTTATAATACCGCGTGTGGTTTTTTTCTTACGAGAAAGTGTCATGTATCTAGTGGGAGCGTAAGAATATAAATCGCCAACAAACAACAGAGTTTGCTACCAATCTGCTGACAAGTTATGTCAGCAGAATCTGCCCGATTTTTGCCGCCAATCTTCTGTCTAAACATATTATTAAGCTTTGTTATATTTTTGTTGATGTTTTGTCGACATTATGTAATATATTAGTTCCTGTATGCAATCTGTAGTCTTTCTGCCTTCAAACTTTGTAGTGAGCATTTGACGAAATCTGCTCTGACAGATTTGGCTATCTGGGATGTTACATTACATACTCTCCAAAACTTTTGGAGTGTAATTTCCACTCGAATAATGGTGTCACTGCCACTGACCAGATCGTTCTATTGGAGTGAATATTTACTGAATTTATTCACTTTACAGCCTTGGCCAAAAGTATTTGCTACCCCCCTTAATTCTTCCCTAGTAGCACAGTGCATTGGCTAAACATTAGCTAAACATATATTGGTCCAATATTGGTTATATTAGAAATGCATTGGCCGATATTGCCCAACGTAAAGTCAATATTGGCCATGAAATAAATGTAAATATATTGCACGATAATAATTATATAATATTAGATTTATATTGGATTAGATTAGATTAGATAGATTAGATTGGAAGTGCATTGGGCAATATTTAACATAATAACAATATTGGTCTAATATTGATGCGATATTGTATGTATAGGACTAATATAGGACTAATACTCTAATATTGATACTACATTGGTGCAATATTGTAACATTGTCGCAATGTAGCTGCAATGTAACTGCAAGTTTTTTGTTGTATGGGTAATACAATACGTAAACTATATACATATGTATACGTTTAACGTCTGTCACGTAAATAATGAATATAATTATCAAACATTTATACTTCGTTAGAAATATCGGAAATTTTGTTTGGTGTACAAATTTTATTTTCTGATACGATTATTTCGTTTGGACACAATTTTTAGCATGCCACGAAAAATAACGGATCGGATCAACGTATATACACATATAATAATATTTCTGTATCTTTAATGTGTGTCTGTACAGTTAAATAATTATAAAATCTTCATCTTATTGTACAGTTAAATTATAACCGAAATGCATTTAATTTAATCTAATATGAAGCTATTATATTTTTTATATAGATAAATCTTATATATAATAGATAATCAAATAATTATAAGATAAAAACTCTGGATATTGAACTGTCGATAATTGATGAATAACAAGAAGTGGGCTTAAAAAACTGAAATGTAGTTATTTGTGTACGAATTAACTTTATGCAGTATTTAATTAACATCCATATTATAATAAATTATAAATCATACATATTTCAGTTCTACTTTGAGCCATCCGCAATGATGTGACGATATGTAAATTAAGTAATATTTAAATAATAATTAAATAATTCCATGTTCCCCGACTATTGAATGTACAAAACTATTAAATTTTGGGGATGATATTTGAAAAATTCTATTAATTTTATTTTCATGATGCAACCAAAATTTGTAATAAAATTCAAATTTTAAAGTGGCTAGCAAAGAAAAGTGGAATTCGCGCGCTAAACAAAGATCAGAGAACGTGAGATTAAAAAAATGAAACCTCAGGAAATACGTCGGAAACTGAGGTGACTTTTTCACTCGGCAGTAGTTGTGTAAATTCAAAAACGAACGGTTAAAAAACGGATCTGGCGCAAAGTAACATCCGACTCATACGGCTGTCAAACATTGACAACATTTTTTCGATCTCACGTTCTCTAATCTTTATTTGGTGGGTGGATTCCATTTTTCTTTGCAAGTTATCTCCAAAATCAATTTATTACTATAATATTTTCTGCATCGTGAATATTAGTAAAATTTTTTCAAGTATTACCTCTTAGAAATTTTACATACATTCAATTTCTACACATGCTCATTACACGCTCGTCGGGAAATGAGAGATTATTCTGATATTATTTAAATGTAATATAATTTATCTATTACTGCGTCACTGAGAATGGTTCAAAGCAAAGCCAAAACATATAATTTGTAATTTATTACGAACGTTAACTAAATACTGCAGAAGATTAATTAAACAATAACCGTGTTTTGATTCTCAAAGCCCAGTCTTTCTCTACATATTCGTCAGATTCCTTAGTTTTTTAGGAAAATGTATTTCGTGCAAATACAGTTCAAAAAAACAATTCATTATTCAATTAGTTAATTTATAATAATTGATAATACGTGAATTATACATTGTTTACGTAAACATGACTCGCTTAAACATAATGTAAACAATACGCAGACAATTAATGTAGATGTCATCGTGAAATTTACGCGGTACACAATCCTGATTTTAATCTTATACAACTCTGCTTCCATCCTACGCGATTAACTTAGATAACTATGCATTTTAAACGCGATCAAACATGATTTATCATTAATAAACATGGTAGTGCTTGTTGCAAATAATTTATATTGTAAATTTGTCATAAAGAGGAACTTTAGAAACAAAAATTAAAAGTAAAAATTGTTTTGTTTTTTTTGGTGCAAGATATCTAATGAGAAAATCCGTCCACAATATCCACGTCCGCAAGAAATCTTTTCCTCTTATCGCAAGAAACTGAGCAGCTAAGTTTCTCTTCACAGAAACATCATAATTAGATAAGCCTGCAACGTAATTAATCCGCAGTTATTTTTGCACGTTATAACCGAAGTTTAATTTAATTGACATTTTTTTATTTTCTTCTTGTGAGGACTCGGAATTTTAAACTCGATAAGTAAATGTTGAAAGTTACAAGTTAATTTAAATTTTCTCATTTTATTCTCCAACTCTCTCTCTCTCCTTTCTAGGTAAAAATAATTATTTGTAAATGAGAAAAATCTTGGGCGCGCGAAATTAAACACTTTTATAACAGTTTTATATAACTGATACAATATATAAATAACTAGTGGAATTTATAATGGTATTATGAAGAACTTCTATAGAACTGATAGGTATACATATATAGTGAACGATGAGCAAACACAGATAGCAAATATAAATTGATTTAGCTATGAAATTTTTAGGTATTATTATGCCAGGATTTTCAAGTTTAATAAGAGAAATAAAAACTTTTCAAAACATGTATTTTGGAGTTTATAACGACATT